AAAAGATCTTATTAGGCAAAATTCCGTTTGTATGAGAGGTGCCACGTTCCTTTTTCTAATCGAAGTAAAAGCTACCCTATCTTTTAACTTGAGATGAACGAGTCCATTAGCGAAATTTCATTAAGATCGGTTGAGTAGTTAAAGCGTGAATACGAAAGGTTTGCATTAATATCAGTAAGATTATCCAGTACTGACAATTAAAACAATTTTTAGAGGTGAGCATTTTTACACAGACCCAAATACACAAACACAAAATATTACATCAGGGGTTATGAATTTTTTTGCCCTTGATTGGTTGTGCTAAACGACAAGTAATTTTTAGCAAAAAAAAACCGACTTAAAAAAAATATATATATATCTATATATTTCATGATCCAATGATCGGATCTAAACCAAATTAGTATGGGACCACCTCTGATACTACCTTTCCGTTGCAAAAAGAATTATTGAAATCGGTTGACGTGGTGCAAAGTTATGCGGTAACATACATAAAAAAATTAGGGCTGTGCGATTAATTGATTACTCAAAATTTTAATTAACCATAAAGTAAATAACTCAATTATTCGATTAATTGGAAATTATGATTACTCAAAAGTTCAGTTACTCGAGTAATCAAGATTTTTGATTAACCAAAAACAAAAATATTTGAGTAAAATGCTTTATGATAAATCAACATTTCGAGTAAAATGAGTAATCAGCATTTCAACTCTTTACATATGTACAAAGTAGTTAAAGTTCCTTGATACTTTGAAAACAACGTTTCTGTTTTCAAAAATTAAAACGAAAAATTTCTTTTATATACAGAATGTAAAAAAGAAAATAAGCATTTTCCAAAGCAAACTCTATTAACGAGCAAAATTATTTTTTTGAGTAATCATATTTCAAGTAACTCGATTAATCATTGTTTTGAGTAATCAAAATCTTGATTACTCGAGTAATTGATTAACCGAATAATTGATTAACCAACTTGCTCGAGTAATCAAATAATCGCACAGCCCTAAAAAAAATAAAAAATAAAAAAAATTAATAAAAAATATTCCGACGAACTGATAACCTCCTCCTTTTTTGGAAGTCGGTTAAAAAACCAATACTAAGTAAAAAACAAGTAAAAGCAGCGCTGTCTTCGCGCTGCCGAAGGATTCATACCTTTCATGAACATCTGAAAACTTTACTTTAACAGATAACTGTATTTGAAAAAAATTATATATTCACAGCACACAATTAGAGGTATGGAAGATATACCTTATATAGCACCAATCTAAGTGATTTTCACTACTGTGTGATCGGTATGTAAACCGGTAACACAATGTAATGGGTTTAGCTTCCTACATTAAGGAGATATATCGCAAAAACTGGTATAGGAACAATCAGTGGTATAAGAGATAAAGCTTATACAGCACAGATTTTGACGATTTGCTCAGTAGACTTTGTATTATTATTTATACAATAACTTACGAAATTAATCGGTTTTAGCTGTCCAAATAAATTAGTTTTATATTAAAATCCCATATCTGAACAATCAGTTGTATGGAGGCAATATATAAGTTATAGTGACCCGATCTTCGTTAATTTCACTGTAAACTATCTGTTGATAATGAGTGAAAATAGTGCGAAATATCA